GCCTCTCGAAGCGTTTTTTACGCACCGTTACCGGCTTTCCTCGCTTTCGTCGGCCGGGCGAAATACATACACCACTGGCTGATAAATCATCCATCGTGCCACGATGCCACGAGCGTAATACGCCAATCCGATTTCCGTGACATTCCGGACGATCGTGCGCTTTCCTCCTTCTTATTGCAATAATGTAATCGTCGATACTTTGATATTATTTCTTTCTTCCTTTTTTTTTTTTTTTTAATTTTCCAACAATTCAAGAGTTAAAAGAAATATAGATTTTTTTTTTTTTTAACCAAATTGAAACCTTGCTATATAAATCCGGCTATTACGTAGTATTTTACTCTTGAAACGAGAGATGTGATTTTTGGAAAATGTCGAAAACATTATATGTGATACAATTAGCGAATTTAGTGTAATTATATAATATGTATTGGGATTTGTATATTAGAACTCGTAGGTAATTTTATTCGATAATTTATTGATTCTTTGCGCTTTTATTTTACGTGTTTCTTCATTTTCTTCCTATGAAAGAATAGTTTCTAGTTAGAGGCAAAGACTATCTTAGATATATCTTAGATTGTCGATAACGTTAAGCTTCTTGTCTTTTGTACAAAATAATCTTGTAAGTGCTTGATAAAACATACTACTTTCAGAAAGAAACGAAAACTGTATGGAACTGTATTGTAATTTTATGAACAACACGGAACAAAAGTGCAAAGAATTAAATTTCTGTCGTTTTAATTTATTATAAAATCGCTTATCGTGCATTTCAAACGTACAAATACCCCGTCAATTTCATATCGAATAAACCTTTTCCCAGACTTTTAAAAGCAAAAAGCAAAAAAAAAAAAACGAAATATTAACTAGACCGACAAAAGGATCGTACATGAATGTTCGTCCCTTTCATCGCTACGACCAAAAAAAAAAAAAATCCAAAAGATAAAATACAAATTTAATCTCGATACAATGAATGAACGAACGCAAATTCTCGACAACGAAAGGGATTACGGAAATCGTTTTGGCCCCGATGCTCGATGCACGGACTGTATAAATGATCGTGAAGAGACACTTCGTGGATTCAATATATATCAATGTGATGACGATCAACGACCAATAGGCTTTTCCTTTTTCGAGAGACGTCGTTTGTTGCGGCCGCACGTTTCACTTCGCTGTTAAGTCCGTTTTTTGTACGCGATCAACGATTCCGGTTGAAGACACACACGTTAACTCGTTAGTTAGATATTAATTAAACGTAAGGCCGACCGTTTTTTAAAAGACGCAGACGGTTTGGTCGTCAAAAAACACGAATTATCGTTGGCGAATTATCGTTATAGACGCTTTAAGAGGAACGCGAGTAACGATCGGGTAACGCGTTTCACGATCACGAATCGATAATTTCGGTCCCGCGTTTTCAACTTTTCATTATACGAGAAAATTTCTAACTTCGATAAATTCTAAGAACATGATCGATCGATCATCGAGGAACCATACTCGAGAATCTCGTGTTCCCCGTGAGTTAATTGCGTTTGCGACGTTCTTTGCGACTCGATCGATCTGCGATCTCTCGGATCGTGTGACCGTGTCGTCGACATTGGGCAGAGGATGTTGTATAGTTGAATAAATAGTGTTTTATACGTGTATTCTCTTCTCGCGAAAGAAAAAAGACGAAATAATAATCTCTAGGACACGAATTTTGATCAAAGTTGTTATTATAAAAAAAAAGAAAAGAAAATTCGAGTCAAGCGAATAATAGAAAAATTTCGTTAGTCGAAAATTAATTCCATGAAATGGTTATAATATTAATGTAATAAATTCTACTGGTGATCCTGGTGCCCTTAAATATCCGACTGTTTTTTGAATCTTGATACAAACGAAAAAAAAAATTTCAAAAGTTCGTGTTCATTGTGGCGCCAAATTGAAGACAAAAATGGCGGCGAGCGATTATTCAATTATATAGCGTTCTTTCTGCTTATAATAACGAACGCCAATTATCGAGAACGTCGGGTTTAGTCGAGTTTTTAAGCCGCTAAGTTTCGAGTTTCGTAGCGTACCGGGAGCGTCGCCGATACTTTACAGTTATAAAAGTGTCCCACATTTTTAGCGCAGCTTAGCAGACCGCGTAGCGTGACTGTAGTTTAAACTTTAACAAAGTTTATAAGATAAGTTTTTTCTTCACGGTAAAGTATCGTCCTCGCCTCGTAACAAAAATCCTCTTCTCTTTATTGTAATTTAGCGTGACGTTTAATCCCTCAAGCGGCGGCCCAACAATAATACGAATTCATCGTTCATCGAACGAGATAATCGAGCGCATTTTTTGTATTCGCGATGCTAAGAATAAAAGAAAAAAGAGAGAGAAAAAAAAAAAGAAGAGAAAAAAACGATTCACATCATGTTACATCAACGTTTATATATAATATATCGTTCACCGCGTCCATTTAATTGTATTGCCCAAGGACACGCTGCTTAAGGGATTATTCGGATTTTAATCATCACTTCGAATCCTTCGAATGAGTCGAGCGACGTGTCGAGTGGAAATAAATGAATATAAAGGAAAAGTAACGGTGAATAACAAATAAAGAGAAACGTGGCGATGATTGTTCGAAAGTGGAAGAGGGAAATGTGTTTTCTCATACAAGGTGTTATTTATTGAAACGTCATAGATGCGAGAAATGGAATATAGGGAAAAAAAGGAAAAGGGAGAGAGAGAGAGAGAGAGAGAGAGAGAGAGAGTGTAGT